GTTCAGATGCTGGGTCTGGTCCTATGCGGCCAAGGGCACATGAAGAGGCCTCACTCATCAGCCTGGCCTGGACCGCTCAGCCCAGCAGCAGATCCAGAATGGTCACGGGTGGTGTCCAGTGGGTAAGACAGGCCAGGCAGAGCTCTCACTCTTCAAAGATGAAGTGCTGTCTGGGGAGACAACCCCAAACTTGGCCCTCATGTACTGAGGTAGGAGGGGAGAAGGAGATGGAGATGTCTTAGGGGGAAAGGGCAGGGGTTGTCACCTTTTGGCAGTGCGGACAGGGGAAGTTGTGAGTGGCAGTCTGCAGGTGGTGCTCCAGTGCCTCCGGGGTGGAGTACTTATTGACGCATTTGACACACCTAAATGGGAAGGAACAGAGAAGTGAGAGAGCCACGTGTGTACTGGCTGGATCCCTGGGGCTGGGGTCTCCCAGCAGACGTGGGAGTCAGCCCCTCCCCTCCTCTGACATCAGGAGGCAAAACCCTACAACTAATTCATTCTCCAATCAGTCCACTCTTTGCCTGTCACTGTCTCCATCTTGGTCCAAGTTGTCATCATCTCTAGCTCTAGGGCATGAGCAGTAGCCTTCACCCTGCCCTAACTCACCCCCTGTAGTCCATTCTCCACAGGGGAGTCAGCAGGAGTCTTTAAAAGTTAAAATTAGACCATGTCACACTCTTACTTAAAAGTCCCCACGTTGGCTTACAAGGTCCTACTGGTCTGACCAGTCATACTTCCACCTTCACCTTTCTCCACTGTCCACCACTCATACTCTGCTCCAGCTACTCTGGTCTCCTTAATGTACCTCAAACACACCAAGTTCAATCCCACCTCAGGGCATTTGCACATGCTGTTCCTATGATCTGGAACACTCTTCCCAAAGTCTTCTCCTGGGAAGCACCTTTCATCCTTCATGTCTCAGCTCAAATGCTATGTCCTCAGAGAGGCCCTCCCTGACCACCCTGTCTCAAGCTGCCCCACAGCCCATCCCTAGCCACTCCCTACTTTGTTACCCAGTTTTATTTTCTTCTTAGCACTTATTACCTGGAATTATTTTGTTGATTTACTTACTTGATTATTATCTGTCTCCTCCACCAGCAAGTGGGCTCTGGAGGCCAGGATTATATCTGTCCTGTTCATAACCTGTCCTGAGCACCAGTGACAATCTGTTATATGAAAGAGTCAGACAGACAAGGATCCAGGCCTGGCTCCTTCCCATCTCTGACCCTCAGTTTCCTCACCCATAAAATGGGGTAGGAATTCCAAATGGACCTGCCCCTCAGTCATTCTTAAGATTATCACAAGAGTCAAAGGACACAGGGGTGCCAAACAGCTCATAAACACAGTCTTCACTCTTAACATTACTCTGGTTAACATGCCCCCAAAACAGCAGTTTCAGGCCACAAGCCACTCTGAGTAAAAGACCCCACCATGAAAACATTCACCAGCAAATGGACCCACTTACAATGCAGCACCAGTAAGGCATACCAGAGGTAGATGGGCAATTCATGCCAAAAACAGAAATGTGTGCCCTGCCATCTGTACGCCAGGGCCACTGGGAAACCTGCGGGCAGGCTGCACCTGTGGTGGGCCCCTCTCACTCAACACCCTGAAAACCACAGGCTAAATGCCTCCAGATGGAAAGACAGAAAGAGGAGGTGGGGTAGGAACAAAGCTACCAGGAAGGCAGAGGGTTCGTAAGCTTGGTGGGAGGAGAGGGTGGGAATCGCACAGACTTTGGCAGCAGCAAGGAGGCACAGGTTTGTGTGGGAGGCAGCTTAGCTTAAATACCATTGAAATTAAACCTTCCTGCCAGAAACGCCACCTGAACTGAGTCATGCAAGGTAACTCCCCAGTGATGGGCCCAACCATCATCAAGCATCTCCTGGTACAACGTGGGGAGAAATACACAGCATCACTTGATACTCCTGCCAAAAGTGCTGATCCTGGATCCACCAGGAGATCAAATCAGACAAACCCAAACCTGACTTTGGGGCCAGCAGTTCTGATGGCTACAAAGGCCCTCTGACACTCTAATCCTGGCAAGAGAACCTGAGAGAAGTGACTGACTGCAATCACAAGGCTATCAGAATTGGGCTCAATCCTCAGCCTGAAAACTCCAAAACCAGAGCTATGAGGCTTCCAAGGTCCTAGACAAGAGTTTCAATTCCAGCTCTGTGCTGACATTGTTACTCTGGTGGGCAGGTCACTTCTCCTCTCTGAGCCTCAGTGCCTTCACCTTCAAAACTGGGAGAACAACACTGCTATGGAATGAACTGTGTCCCTCTAAAATTCATGTGTTGAAGGGGGTGGGGGTTACAGTCTCAGTGGGTAGAGCACATGCTTAGCATGCACGAGGTCCTGGGTTCAATCTCCAGTACCATGATAAAACATAAAAAAATAAATAAAAATAAATAAAATAAAATTCATATGTTGAAGTCCTGACCCTCAATGTGATGGTATTTGTAGATGAGCCTTTGGGAGGTGAATAGGTTTTGATGAGATCTTGAGTGTCAGGTCCTCCTGATGAGATTAGTGTTCCTATAAGAAAAGACCAGAGAGAGAGGGCACCCCCCGACCCCCGCTCCTCTCATATGTCTATAACATTCTGTTATGGAGCCAGAGCTGATTGATACAACCTACCTCCCAGGTTGCAGGGATCAATGTCCCTAAGTCAGAGTTTGGCACATAGTAGGTGCTCCCTTCCTTTTACTTGGCATCGCAACCCAGAGAGAGCCACACAGCTATAGAAACTCACAGATAATCCACAGATTGGAAAGGCAAAAGAAAAAGAAAATGCCCTCTGAGCACAAAGGTGAACTATTCATTTTGACCCAGAAATATCTATCCCTTAGCTGGTCAGAGCTTCACCTAGTTTTGCAGCCTCTCTGGCCCCATTCCCCAGTCTCTCCCAGGGCCAGTGCCCATCACCCCATTTCTTGAGTCCCAGTTCCTCTGCCAGCTCCTCAAAGCCCTTGTGATTTCTTCAAGGCCCTCATGCCCCAGCCTCACTCTCTCCCCCAGGCCCCATATAAATATCCCCTCCCACCTCCATTCTATAGAACAGTCATTCTGAACTACTTGCTATTTTACTTTACATCTGTACACTTGCTGTTCCTCCTGCTAGGAATGCACTCCACCCTACCCACTGCCTACCTGGCAAACTCCTACTCATCCTTTAAAAACCAGTTCAGGTATCATTGCTCCTAGGACACCTCTGCCCTACCTCCCACCACAGTACTTCTGTACTTTATATACATATGCCTAGGATTTATGATTTTATCACAGTATATGATAAGAATACACACTTGTTGCCCTAAGCAGCCTATGCATTCTAAACTCAAGGTCTGTATTTACTTATTTCTGAACCCCAGAAGCCTCAGCCCAGAGTTACAGGGGGACCCCATTAACAGAGGTCGTCAGCCAAGTCCCAGCAGATACAAGTTTGTAGAGAGAAGCAAAAGCCATTTAACATGAAAACATTCACTAATGAACTGGAAGGAGTCCCCACACAACACCCCTCACTTGTTTCTCACTGGCACCTATCCCCGTGCGCTGCATGCTAGGCTTTGGGAGGCAGCTGCTCCCAGAAGACACAGGACAAATGCGCAGCAAGATGAGCGTTGGGCAAAAATGAGCGATTCCACCAAGTCATGAAAATGATGGTGGGTATCCACAGATGACACCATCAGCAAAGGAGAGTCTGCAAGAGGGACAGGAAAGCAAAGAAGGTAGAGACACTCCACAAGGATGATCACAGGATTAGTAGCTCCAAAGGGAATGATTTGAAGATCTAAGGACTAAAAGCACGGGGCAAAACTGAGGGAGTCCTTCATCATTTCCACCAAAGGGACCCTTTTTATGACTGAAACAGAAGACTAAAGCGATGTACAGGATTCTCAGAAAAAAATCACCCAAAATAAAATCTACACATGGTTCATCCCTTGTTCATTCCCAGAATCAGCATATAGCTTCAACTTGAATTCTAAATATCATGGATTATAAAACAAATGAAACTTATTTTCATGATTTTTGCTTTCAAATATGTCCTTGTTCATTTTTTCATGTAAGAATCAGTGCATCATTCCAAACTGTAACCTAAATTTTGTAGATTACCAGAAATAATACTATTTTCATAGTATTTTACCTTCAGGTAAAAAAATCTTTTTTCTGCTACAAACAAGGAAAGATTAGCTTCCCTTTTTTGAGTTTTTTTTTTTTTAGGATAAATATCTGCCACATTCAAGAATGATACAGGGAGGGCCGGCATCTTTTCCTCCATCAGTGCCAAGGGGCAGAACCCACTCTGCCAGGCTGGATCCTGGGGCCCTTTGAGATGTCTCACTGGTCCTGAGCAGTCAGAATGACCAAGCAGACCCCAGGCTCTCTGCCGGGAGAGGGAAGTGGGAGGGCACGTACTTGTAGACAGCGCTGTCCTTCTTGGGGCTGTGCTGCGGCAGGAGGCTATGTGAGTATTGATGCACGCCTAGGTCGTACAGGGAGGGGAAGTCCTTGCCACAGAGGTGGCAGCGGTAGCTCAGCTCCTCCTGGTGGCTCTTGATGTGCTCCAGAAACGTGTCGAGCTTCGGGAATGTCTGTGCGCAGCTTTTGACCACACACTTGTACACCTTGAGGGAAGAGGCAGAGCAGGTGAGGGAAAGTAGGAGAGCTGCCTCCACTGCCACCCCAAACCCTGTGCCATCCACCTCAAATGCTGCTGGTGGGAGATCCAACCACTGTTCCCCTGTGGCCCTGCTGCTGAAGCCCTGGTTTTATTTTGATCAGAAGGTCCCCTCCTCTCAGCCAGTCACAACAGCCCCATGACCCTTCCCGCAGGCTCTGTGTGTCCTAGATATACTTAGAAAAATTATCCAAAACCCAGAATGATACCATCCTGAAAGGATGTGAAAAGATGACATCATGTCCTTCCAATGTCGCACTACAATAGTGGCTCTCCAACCTGAGCGTGCATCACAGTAACACATTGTACCACTTCCAGAATAACTGATTCAGCTGGTCTAGGTGCCCTGAATACGTGCATTCCCACCAAGTGCCCAGGTGATGCTGAAGCTGCTGGTCCGGGACCTCACTTTGAGAACTGCTGTCTAGCAAGCAGTTAGGTTAAGGCAGTTAAGACACCAAGGGTTATCTCACTCTCTGGGTGATGTGACTTGTTTTGACTGTTTACTGCTGATTAAGACCCAAACTCTAAAGTTAAATATTCACTTGTAGAAAACTGATCCAATGTAAATGATTTCTGTCATGTGGAAAAGATAACCCCAAAGGTTATGGGTTTTGTTGCCCTGTAGGATATTAACCAGATTTGCGTCTAATTTAGCAATCTTATTTCAGGATTCTTTTTTTTCACTAACATAGTTATATATGGGTATAGATATCAGTGTTTCATATCCTCTTTAACTGGCTTTGTCATCCTTCCAGTTCCCTCATTTACGAGGTAAGTAAAATTCTGACTTATGTTCACTATGCTATTTGTATGAGAATTATGTTATTCACATTTTGAAAATTATACTTTGACAAGTAGTATGTACTCCTCATAGGGTTGTGAGACAGTTAGGGTTGCATGGCATATTCAGGGTTTCAATTCCACATGCTCCTTCTTCCTACCAAAGTGAACCTTCATTTGCTCAGAGTGGCAACATGCCTAGTTAAAACCCTTGATCCCCTGGCTCCCTTGCATCAAGTGTCAGCCATATGACTCCTTTCTTGCCAATATCTAGGCAGTAGTCTTTGGGGAAGGCATGATGCCTAGAACAAAAAGGAAAAAGCTTCCTAGAAGAAGTCCTCTCTGACTTCTGCATTTGTCCTGACTAGAATATAGATGTGATGGTTGGAGGTATAGCGGCCATCCTGCAACCTTGAGGATAAATACCACATGCTAAAGATGGCAGAGCAGAAAGCCAGGAGAACCCAGAGTCTATGATGATGTATTATCTGACCTGCTATATAAGCCCAACACTGTCTACTTACGGACCTTTTGTGATGTGAGAGAAGTAAAACCCGTTATCTATTATTTACAGGATAACAATGCATTCCTAAGTGATAGAGCACATGTACTGGCTCTGACCAACGAGAAGGCTACAGAAAGCTTCTGGGAAAGGTTTCCTTGCTCTGAAAGAAGACACGAAAACATAACCCCTTTATGCTCATGGATAATACTGTGTCTGGACTTCTGCTGAGAAAGAGCAACCACCATCACAGGACCACAGGTGAACCATCAGTAGAGGACAAGGCCAAACCCTAAGATAGTAGAGACAAGAGATAGAAACACACAGGGTCTTGTTGCTGGGTTGAGTCAACTCATTGTCTCAGGCCCAGAGCTGCCCTATCTTGACAGCTTGTTATGAGAGGAAACAAACTTCCTAATTGCTTAAGCCAGTTTGAGTCAGTTTTCTGTGATTTTCCCTGAAAACAGCCCCCCTGCTACCCAGCACCCACCTACCTGCTCATTCTTATGCTGGGTCATGTGGGACTTGAGCTGGAAGTAGGTACTGAACTTGCTGGGGCAGAACTGGCACAGGTAGGAGCTATCAATGAGGACCACCTGCTTGGCCTCCAGCTTGTCACCCTCATCCTCGCCTGCTGAGGGCAAGGCTTGGGGCTGTGGGGTGCTTGACAGGGTCTGGTCCAACCCTGTGGAGAAAGCCAGGGAGGCAATTCACTGAGAAACAAAGAGTCAGGACAGAGAGCCTTGCCACTCAGGAAAAATTGCTAGAGCACCCGCTGTGTGCTCCGCTGCATCCACCCCGCCACACACCACGTGCTCGGTGTTGGACGACACACTGAAGGCACTGCACTCACGGGCAGCTGGTGTGCAGACAGAACCACCCCAGGGGCTTAAATACTGAATATTTACACTCCCATGGATGAATAGCTATTGCCTCCAATCCCCTTGCAGGCCTCCCCCTCAGACACTCTAGACCTCTCTGTGGTTGTTAACAACCCTGAATATCACTCCGAGCTGTGCTCATGATGCCTCCCAGCTCCTTTTTCTGATTACAGCCATCTGTTTAGTTGCCTTTCCCTCACTCCCCCTGAGGACAGGGGCCTCGGACCTCATCGCCATAGGCCCAGTGGCCTGGCACACAGTAGGCCTCCATAAGTGTTTGCTCAATGGTTGAACCCTTGGGGCTAGGCACTACAGGAGTTTGGAAAGAAATGGTTTCTTCTCCAGAGTTCACAAGAACTCAGAGGGCACACACAGAATGGCTAAACACAGTAGGGCTAGTCCAAACCAGAAGGTCATATAAAAGTAGGCATATGTTGCTTGCAGAGAACACCCTCTTCATTAGCTGTGTGTGGTTGGCACTGCTCACCCACAAGGCTGCACAGGAAGGCTCTGGCCTTATGCTGCCCAATACAGTGGCCATGAGCCACATGTGGCAAGTGAGAACTTGAAATGTGGCCGGTCCAAATCTAGATGTGCTAAGATGTAAATACACCCTGGAGTTCAAAAACTTAATATAAAAAAAGAATGTAAAATGTCTCATTATAAATTTCTTCATATTATATATTAAAATGGTACTATTCATGTGTTGGGTTAAATAAAATATATAGTTAAGATTAATTTCATCTTGTTTTGTTTGTATGTAGCTATTAGAAAATGTTTAGTTGTATACATTGCTTATATTATATATTTGTTAAGACAGCACTGCTCGAGGCCTAGTAAGTGTTCGACCCCCAGGGAGGAGGGGAATTAAATCAATATCAGGGACAGGATCATTAGTTCAGACACAAGTGAAGGCTCAGATGAGAATCCTACAAAGTATAAAGGTCTCTGGAGACCATCTGCCCATGAAAGTCAAATAGGTTTTAATTTTTGGTCAACTGACAGTGACTGCCTAGAGCATTATATTGAAAACAGATTCTAAGGCAGGATCCAGGCACAACAAAAAAGAATAGGTGATTTATTAGTGATGTCTGCCATGGTATAGTATTAGAGTAATGCACATATATTGTACATTTGTCATCCTTCATTTCATCCATGCTCCATTTTTGTTTTATAGATGAAAAAGACTAAAGCCCAGAGAGGTTAAGGAGGTTGCCCAGGGTCACACAGCTAGCAACAAAACGTATGAAGCTGCAGAGGAGAGGTGTGGGGAGAATGGCGTTCCCCACTTCTACCCACCTGTGCTATCTTCATCCTCCTGCCTGCTGGGGTTCAGGGCCATGACCTGTACAGTCACAGAGTTGCGAGAGACGGTGCCACCGCTGCGTCCTGGAGGCCACACCTTATGGGTCTGCATGTGTTTCTTGACATTAGACTTCTGGGCAAAGGCACGGCCACATGCAATGCACTGGAAGGGCTTCTCACCAGTGTGGCTGTGAGAGACAAAGCTTGTCAGCACCTTTGTGTAGGAATGGGGATGTGGGCCTCAACCCAGAAGCTCACAGCCACCAGGAGGACCAGAACAGAGCGTGCAGATGCTCCTGGCCACCATTCTGACACCATGAGGACAAGTCTTATCCCTGAGGCAGGCAGACCAGAGTCAGACAGACCCTGGGCTCTTAGTGACATTACTAAGTTGCTGAATCAACCAGCCCTGGTGCTGACCTTCTCTGTGGCCATCCCTAACTGTGAGATCAAATATTTCCTAACTGTTTAAGCCCATTTATATGGAGACTTCTGTTATTTGAAGGAGAAAACATCTTAGTTGGCACAGCATAGCACTTGTACCATTATTTAATATTTTCCTTCAAATCAACAGACTTTTTAAAAACTTAAAACAATTTAAAATGAAGTTTCCTGTTGTTATTGTATATGAAAAGCCACTTGTCAGAAACGAATGAAACTTGTCATAAAGTAATGAAAAATACAATTATCTATATAATAATATTATTAAGATTTATAGCTGCATCATCCAATAAGGTAGACAAAAGCCACATGGGACTATCTAAATTTAAATTCATTAAATTAAAATAAAGTAAAAAAATCAGTTTCTCAGTCATACTAGCCACATTTCAAGTACTCAACAGCCGTTTACGCTTAGTGGCTACCCTGCGGACAGTGCCTTTTGGGGCCTTTCCATCTTTGGAGAAAGTTCTACTGATGAGCACTAGTATAGACCAGCAGTTTTCAACAGAGATTGATTTTTCCCTCTTGGGGACATCTGGCAATGTTTGGAGATGTTTTTGGTTGTCACAGCTGAGGAATGTGGGGTGCTACTGGCACCTAATGGTGAGAGGTCAGGAATGTTGCTAAGCATTCCACCGGGCACAGGACAGCCCCACAGAAAAGAATGATGTGCTCTAAAATGTGTCAACAGGCTGATAAACCCTGGCCTAGAGAGAAGCTGCTGCCTGCCATGGCTGGAATCTGAGGCTTGCTTTCTCTCTGTTATAAAAGATGAGCAAGTATGTGAGAGGCATTAAAGACAGACTCGTACCAAATTGAGGCTTTCTCCTTTGACAGGAAGAAACTGAAAAGAGAATAATTTTCTCACTTACGTCATTCAAAACTTTTCAACACCACATCTATAAACTACCTAAAACCATCTCATGTACCAATGTATCCCATTCTGTGAGTATCACTTAACAAGTCCACCGCTCCACTTCACAATGGAAAACCTGAGGCCCAGAGGGGCTCCTTGCGTGTTCTTGGGACAAGAGGTGTCATGGTTAGTACCAAGTGAGCAGAGAGCTTGTAGCCATATTCACAGAGCATGGCTGTCCTTGAGGTCAGCTCTTTCTGCAGAAGTGAGAACTGAGGCACCCAGCCCTCCTGAGAAGCCTCCACCCATTCAGGTAAATTTCCTCCCCCAACCCCTACCCTGCCTGGACCTTCCGCATCACAGGAGGCAGGCCCCACAGAGCCTTCCCACTGCTCCTGAGAGAGGAAAGGGAAAACCACCCTGAGCCGGACTGAAGGTCTGAGAACTACGACAGGACAGACGGGGCCTTGGTCACCACCCAGCTTGAGAAAGCAGTCTTGCTGCCACTGGGAATGCCCCTCTCCCCGGCCAGGGCTGCATAGGAGCCACCTGCCTCACCACGCCTGAGTACCTTCTGATATGCTGCTGCAGGTCGAAATTTTTGGTGAATGACTTGTCACAATATGAACACTTAAGTTTCTGAGCCTTTGGCTTCCCTGCAGCTGAAAGACAAAGAGGGAAGAAGGGGATGGTAGGGTTGGAGGCACAACTGAAGGCGCCAAGGGCAGCTTCCCACCACTCTACCCTTGGACCTGGGGTCAGACAGCCCAGACCCTAGGAGGTCCATTCCTGGCTAAAAAAGACATTTCCCAGCTTCCTTTGCCGCTAGATATGGTCATGTGACTAAGTGTTGACCAATGAGATGTAAGCAAAAGTATCATGCAGAACTTCTGGGATCTGGGAAACATCTCTTTCATTCTTCTTACTGTCTGGAATATGAAAATTGATGACTGGAGCTCCAGCAGCCATCTTACATGATGAGGCACCTTGATAACAGAAGCTTTGTTCTAGGGATGGCAGAGCAGAAAGACAGAAGAAATAAGGCTGCCTGGTAACCATATGGGCATATGATCTACAGAGAGTCTTCATCTGTGGACTTGTTTTGCAAAGAACAACAAAATTCTATCATTTTGAAGTCACTCTTATTTTGGATTTTCCATTATATGCAATGAAACTTAATCCTAACTATCATAAAAGGGAAGACTGGAACTAAACAGCCTGTGGATAGGCCAGTGCTGAGGAAAGATGCCATGGCAGGCCATGGGCCCACCTTCTGGAAGTCCACTGGAACTTTTGGTCCGTCGGGTCTTCAGTGATGGTGGGGAGTCAAAGGTGGCCACTGTGCCCCCAGTGGCGCTGGTCATGGGGGCAGCAGGGTTTGGTCCTTTCGGTTTGAATCCTTGTTTGCCAGGGCTGTACACCTGGGGAGTGGGGTATACTGGAGCCTCCACACACTGATTTGGCACCTAGAAGGACAGCACAGTCAGGGAGAGTACCCTGGGACAGGAGGGATGGAGCTGCCCCAGCCAGAAGGACTCTCACTGTGGCCCTGGTTGATCTCAGCCATGCCCCCACCTACATCGCCATCCTAACTCCTCCACTTGGCTCAGTCATCCCAGTTACTCCCAAGACTCCTGAGAACTTCATGAAGCCAGCAGGCTAGAGGCAGCTTTGGAGTCATGCTGCCTGGGTTCAAATTCTGACTCTGCTTCTTATCATTTAAGTGAGCTTGGGCAAGCCTTTTAACTTTTGTCTCAGTTTCTGCATCTGTAAAATGGGGCTAATCATAGTACCCCTCTCACTGGGTTGTAGTCAAGATTAAATGAGTTAACAAGTAGAGAGTTTAGAACAATGCCTGGCATATAGTAAGTACCCAATCAACATTAGCTGTTATTATTGACATTACTATTGTTATTAGTAGTAGTTTGCTTGTACAGGAAGTCAGAAGGGTCTATGCCCTCACGAGCAGCTCTACTTCTTAACTAACTCCCCTTGATGCCACACCAGCAGGCATCCCTCAACTGACAATTGACACTGAAGCCACAAGAAATTACCAAATAAACTATGAGTTGCTCAAACTTAGTCACCACTAAGCTTACATCATGATACTGGGCATTGTGAAGAAATCATTTATTCATTCATTTATTCATCATTCATTAGTCTTTGTGGGCTAGTATATTCAAAATTCCACTTCCTATCCTTCTCTGCTTTATTTTTCTCTTCAGACTGATCATTATCTAATAAGTTATCTATTTTACTTATTTATCTTTATTATCTACCTAGTTTCATGAAAGCAGGGACTTTTGTTCTGCTTTTGTTTATTCCTCTATTCCTAGGCCTAGAGCAATGCTTGGCACAGAGTGGGCACTCAATAAGTATTTGTTGTATGAACAAATTCATTTATGTAGGTACTGGGCATCTAATATGGCTGGTGCTTCTGCTGGGTCTTGTCTGTTGGCCCTTGGCACTATTCCTACACTCTTCCATGGTCTCCCCTAAAATGCAGAGGTGAGAAGCTTGGAACCACATTCCTGAACTCCCTTGCCAGCATGGTTCTGAACACAGATTAAGTTCTGCCCATGAGATGCATCTGAATGAGATTGGGAAGGCAGAAGGGAGGTAGAAACCATTCTTCTCTGGCAGCCATGGTGGGAGACAGGCAGGTCTGCAGTCATGAGTTCTGGAGGAGTGGTTGGCTGAACACTACATTCCCCTCCTGACTGCCAGCCCTGAGCTGCCAGGCAGCTGGAACCTCAGCAACAGAATCCTAGTTTCCTCACCCCTGGGCACAGCAGCAGCGTCCTGACTCTCAGGGCCAAGCAACAACAGTGAACCTGAAAACCAGTGATGCCTGCCCACCCTGACTTTTGCTCCTCTAGCCCTTCCCTCAGCTTTGTAAGCATTTAACTTCTTGTATTAAATCCCTCTGCCAGAAATACCTAAAGTGGTTTTGATTTCACTGACCAATATAGCACTCAATAAATATCTGTCACAGTGAATGAATTCACCCATTGGTCAAGTCATTACTGAGCACTAACATGGCTGCCCATGGGTTAGTTCTCATTATCCTCACAGCTCTGCAAGGGAGTTCCCATTCTAGAAGGGAGGAAACTGAGATCAGAGGATCCTATTTCAGATACCTACTATAGATGTACGACAGGCCAGGTACTCTGGTAGGTGCTAAAGATGCAAAATCAAAGACAACTTAGGCTCTGCCCTCAAAGAGCCCCCTTGTCTACATGGGCAATAAACAATGGCAGCTCCCCCCGTGCTGGCCCCTCTGTCTATGAGGCCACCATGGTCCTCTCAGCATCTCACTGACTTAATTTTTCTTTTAAATTCAACACAGTCCTCGGGAGCTTGCTTTATTTTCCCAGGCTAGGGCACATTCCCTTGCAGGCTCTTATAAAATCGCATGACTGGTGGTGGGGTTATCCCACTGGTCTAGTTCTCTTTAGATACAGATGCTACCAGTCGGTATGGCTGGATTCTAGGGGAGTCTGAGATAATGTGACCTCAAGTGCAGGCAGGCTCTTTCTTTCATAACCATACCCCCTAGCACTACTGTCTAGGAAAATTCTGAACTCTTAGTGCCTCGAGAATAGACTGCTTATAGCTCAGAGCTCCTCAGCAGGGAACTAATATGATACATATGGTACAGGCATATCTTGGAGATTCTGCAGGTTCAGTTCCAGACCACGACAATAAAGTAAAAATCCCAATAAAATGAGCCAGTGAAATGTTTGGTTTCCCAGTGCATATAAAAGTTATGTTTGCACTATACTGTAGTCTATTAAGTATGCAACAACATTATGTCTAAAAAACAACATACATAACCTTAATTGAAAAATACTTTTTGATTTTCTTGCTAAAAAATGCTAGTCATCACCTGAGCCTTCAGCGAGTCATAGCAGTAACATCAAAGATCACAGGTCACCATGACAAATACAACAATAATGAAAAAGTTGGAAATACTGTGAGAATTACCAAAATGTGACAAAAAGACATGAGGTGAGCAAATGCTGTTGGAAAAATGGCACTGATAAACTTGCTCAATGCAGAACTTCAATTTGTAAAAACTGTGATATCTGCGAATTACAATAAAAGGTATGTCTATACATTGATTAAATGGCCTTTACCTTTCCCCATACCCATGCCCATTACAGTGTGATTTGTAGCTTTTCCAATAAAGAAGTGGAATCTCTCCCTACTCCTTAAATCTAAGCTGGCCTTGTGACCTGCTTTGACCAACAGAAGTTACGTTGTGTCACTTACAAGTCTAAGCCTCAGTAAGCCTTGAGCATTTCTGCTTACATTATTCAACCTCCAGCACTGCCATGAGAACATACCTAACTAACTTGCTGGAGCAGAGCTGGGTCACCCCACCTAACTTACCCCTCTCCAGGCCAACCTAGAGCAGCCGAGAGCCAACCAACCTCCAGACACATGAAAGAACCCAGCAAAAATCAGCAGCTGCCAAGCTGACCATCATAGACATGAGAAAAATAAACATGTTCTGCTATATACTACTAAGGGTTTGTGGATATTTCTTACACAGCCATAGCTAACTGATACACCTAGCTTGTTACAAAAGATATGAGACACTTGCATAGAAAAATTTTTGGAATCTTCTCCCCAAAAGGCAGATATTCTCTGACTGTCCTGAGCACTCCCTGAGGACAGCATGTATATCGGCTACAACCTCTACTTCATTCCATCTTCTCATGGTTTGCATTTTATACTTTTATACATACAATGGCTTGATTAAAGTCCTTCTCTCTCATGATGTGGTACTCCATGATCTGGTTTTGCCTGCCATGGGGTATCTCCAACTATGTCTAGCATACAGTTGGTCCTCAGAAAAGGTTCAGGTTACCCATGATGACCATGACCAGTTTTTCCCACTTCACCCCAAATCCCAGCCTCTGCTCACCTCCAGGGGTGGGTAGGGCTGCATTCCCAGTGCCTGGATCTCCACCGTTCCACTCCCAGCCAGGGGTGCTGTGGCGCTGTATACCTCCACCACGCCATTCCCACCAGGGTTGGGACGCCCCGGGGGGCCCAGGCTCTGGGGTGGGGGTGGTGGGGGCTGAGGAGGTGGGGGTGGGGGCAGTGGGGGAGGGGGTGGGGGAGGAGGCGGGGGCTGGGTGAGGTAGCTTGGCACAGAATGCATGTTCAGGCTGCTCTGAAATCAGAAGAGAGAATTAAAGTGTCAAAGCCTCTTGACAGCAACTGTCTTATTTATCACTGGGGAAGGACATTTGCCTTAGCCAGCCATGTAGAAAGAACAGCCACTCCCAGAGTGGGAACAGCTCAGAGGATGGGGCTGAGGGGGGCATGGAAACAAAGTCATGGGAGAACTCAGAGGAGCCATCAGTCTGGCACTGCTACCCCCTTTCTCTATGAAAGTCATCAAAAATGGCCTAGCTTGTGCAGAAATGAGCTAATACAGCAGGCGTAATTCTGCTGTTTTTAGAAGGGCTTGCTTGTAGGACTGGCTCTGAACTGGCATCTGAGAACCTGCCTTGTAGAAGATTCCCTCTGTTGATAAGGCTATTCTGCCCACCAGGGACACTGACCCTACTGTATCAACTCACCTAGACTGTTCACATAAATGATGTGGTTTATGGTGAACGTCTCCCTTCTCATCTGCGTATCTGGAGTTTTGGTCATTGTGTCTGGGCGCCTATGTGATCAACCCCCAATAAAGCCCTGGCCTTGGAGTCTCAGGTGTGATTCCCCCACAGAAACACTGCATGCGTGTTGCTGCTCTTCACTGTTGGGGGGGGGGAAATGTGCCTTCTATAGCCTCTCCCCATTTCCCTAAGGGGGAGAACACTGGAAACTTGGAAGAACTTTGAATTCTTCCAGGCTGCTGGGTCTTTTTCCCTTGCTGATCCTGCTGTGTATCTTTTTATTGTTATAAATCACAGCCATGAGCACAACCATCTTAAGTCCTGAGAGTCTTTCTAGAGAGTCACTGAATGTACTGGCTGTGGATCCCCAAAACACAGCCACTGACTTCTAGAAACTGATTCTATAAATATGATCAAGCAGTTGGGCAAAGATATCAATACATGAATGTTACTCCAGTGGTTTTTATAACAGCAAAAAATGGCAGTGACCTACATGTCCTTCCATGGAAGCCTGGCTAAAGAGAGGATGGCCCATCCACATGGAATGGAATGGAATCCTTTGTGACTGTTAAAGTGATGATGCTGATCAGTATTTCATTAAAGGATGCTTCTCTTAATTGCTGCTCCTTGGGTTCCATAGTCAAATAGGTTTCGGGAAAAATCTGGGGTGACAAAAGCAAAAGAATCTCTTTACTGCAGGAAAAACCCAGAGACAGAGTGCGGAAGAAGTAGAATGCCTCCATCCCAGGCTGATTTCCCAATACAAAAAGGATCTCTTGCTTTTGTATTGGAAAATCCCAAGGAGACACTGTTTTGGGGAACATTTCAGGAAATACTGACATAGGGTTTAGGCACAGATAGAGAATGACATTAAACGAAAAGCAAAGTAAGAAAAGCAAGTTCCAGAGCAGTACACATAACATGATCCATTTATATAGATGTGTATGTGTGTCAAATATTTTAAACATATTTTCAATATTTTATATAAAATATATAGTATTTTAAATATATTTAAACAGAAAGCTATTTTTATCTATATTTGTAGTCAAAGGTCAGGAAAATCAGACACCAAAATTTTTGGTAGTATTTTCTTTGGGCAGAGGGAGCAAGGGTGATTGACTAACTGATTGATTTCCCAATTTATATTCTGTAAAATTTCAAACCTACAGAAAGATTGCTAAAATAATAAAATGAACACTATACTTCATCTAAGTCACCAGTTGTTACCATTTGGCCACATCTGCAATGTGTGTGTGTGTACAGACACACGTATATACTTGTGTTTTGTCAAGCCATTTTAAAGTTAGTTGCAGACATCATGACACTTTGTTCCTTAAAACTGTACTCAGATGCATCTCCTAAAAACAAGGACATTCTCCTGCATAATCACAATTCAATGATTACACATAGGAAATTGAATATTGATATAATACTATTATCTAAAATGTTCAAATTCCTCCATATTCTAATCTACCCAAGTGTCCCAGGAAGGCCTTTATAGCTCCCTCCCACCACCTGATCCAGGATCCAACTAAGAACTGCACACTGCAGTCAGTTGCCATGTCTCCTTATTTCCAAGATTATGAATAGTTAAGCTTTAAAAAAAAACTTTTGTGTATTTTCTAATGTTTTTCTTTTTTTAAATTCTTACTTTTTTATATAAGTGTAGTCAATTTACAATGTTAGTTTCAGGTGTAGAGCAAAGAATTCAGTTATATATACACACACACACACACACACACATATATATACACATACATACATATATTTTTTTCAGATTATTTTCCATTACAGCTCATTACAAGAAATTGAATACAGCCCCCTGTGCTATACAGTAGGCTTTTCTAATGAACATGGAACTCTTCTATTAAGAATCAAAATAGGAGTCAATACAGCTGGACTGTGGCTGTGAAACCCTAAAGTCATGTTCTGGGTCCAAGCTGGACGTGGTAGCTTCCCCATCCACAGCAGGGTTGGCCAAGGGGAGGCTGACACTCCTGAGCTTGGGGGAGAGCTGGGACCAAGCTCCCTTCTCTCTACAAGATTCTGAATCTGTATGTGTCAACATGTAGGCCTAGAATCAAGACCCTGTGAAAAACTGGCCACCTCCTTACCTGCACAGGAGGGGGGCCCTGGGGCATGGGCTGGTCCAGGGACGTGAAGGCTGACATGGCGGACATGAGCACATCATCGCTTACCAAGATGTTCCCCTGCACCAGGGTCTGGATCAGCGGGGATGGGGGCACTGTAATGTACGTGGAGATCTGGACAGGACGAGAGAGAGAGAGAGGAAGCGAGGGAGACAACGAATATGTCTGAGGCTCTGGAAGGAAGCAGAGGGCAAGATGCAAAAGATCTGGGCTCTGGAGTCCCACAGATCTTCCACCTCTGCTTCTGCTCCCTGCCATGTGACGCTGGGAATGTCACACCATCTCTCTGAACCTCCATTTCCTCATTTAGCAAGTGACACTTCCCTGAAAGGCATATACCCTATGACCCAGCAAAAATTACTTCCTGGAATCTAGAGAAACACACACCTGTCCACAGGGAGCCCACAAACAAGAGCCTTGTTTCTACTAGTGACAAACTGGAAATAATCTTGATGTCTATCAGTAGGAGAATGGATTAAAAAATATACTATAGTCAAGGAGAGAACACTATAGACAGCATATAAAAGATACTGCATGGAAAATCAAATTATATAATAACATGTACTTAACATAGTCTTATTTTTAAAAATCTCAAATAATACTACTAGTGTAATTCCTGTGAGTACTTAAGTAAGTATGTGAAAGTATCTTAAAAGGTTGAGAAGGATTTTCATCAGTAGTTATCCAGGGGCAGGGGAGAGAAATAGTGCCAAAGGGGCTTTAATTTGTAGCATCCTAACTTTTAGAAAGGAGATAGGAAACATGTTATTACTTGCAAACACACAAATTAATAAAAAAAAAATGCTCGGATGAAAGGTAGACCTTACAAGAGGGTGTCAAACGTGCAGTGACCATTCCTCTTAGGTGATGTAAAGGGTGTTTGTTGTGTTTTGTTTATTTGTTATCTTTCTTTACTGACATCTTTTCAAACTGGCTGTCTGTAGGACCTCTGGGGAAAGCAGGAACCGGGCCCCTGAACCCAGAGTCCCTGTTCAAATAGGATGTCCTTGCTCTCAACTAAGCAAGGACAGCCCAGGCAGGTTAGAGTGACATGCCCCATGTCAAGGCCAGAAAAGGTAGGGTAGATCCCGTCTGATGTGTGTTTTTACAATGTCCTGTGCACTGCACTGAGATGAAAAATGGGAAATCATTTCCATGTCCATCCAACTCACTTAGGCCCTAGAGGGATCTGTGTTTGCCCATAACCAGCTGATTGTGTTCTGAAGTTTTTTCCTTGCCCAGGACTGGAGGAATGTCCCTCTTTCTTATTGAAAATAAAGGGAAAGAGGAAACATTTTCTACTAACAAAACTCATAAACAAGGAGTAAGAAACATGACTATGTTCTGTTAGAAGATGTCTGTGGCAACTTGGAAAGTTTCAGTGTCCATGTCCTATGGATCTGGGTGAACATTTTTAATTTGATGTTAAGAATTATGTCTATACAACGGATGAAAATAATGTTTTAGAGTAATAAGAGAAAGCTAGAGGGAAGTCTGACCCCGTGACCTGGCATCCTGGGACATGCCCAGCCTCCTTTATGCAGATTCTTTAATCCCTCTGAGCTTCCCCACCCAGGGTATCTTTGCTCCAGAACTGTGTTCCTGACTGAGGACTCCGGAAGCTTCTCCAGATCCCCCCAGCCTGGCCCTCTCTCCTGATCTCCAGACTTGTATACCTGTCTGCATCTTCACTGCCTCCACTTGAAGGTCGAATGGGCATCTCAAATCCAACATGACCAGCTGAACACCTCCCAAAACCTCCTCATTGTTTTCTCCACTTCAGTCCATGGCAACTCCAACTCAGGTCACCCTTGACTCCTTTTAATCTCATACCCCACATCCAGTCTATCCACAAGCTCTGTCAGCTCCACCTTCAAAATTTTTCCAAAGTCTCATCCCTTCTCTCCACCTCCACTGTCATTCTCCTGGACAAGCCACCACCACCCACTGCCTGGATTTGTACAACAGTCCCCTAATGGGTCTCCTGGATTTCTCTCTTAATTGTCACCAAAATCTATTATCTGTACAGCAGCTAGAGTGACCTAGTTCAAGTGTAAGTCAGACTATGTCCTTCTTCTCCTTAGAACCCTCCAGTAGTTCTCATCTCACTCAGAATAAAAGCCCACCAGGCCCACATGATCTGTCAGGATCTCCCTATTACCTCTGCTCTTATCACCTCCCACCCTCCTCCTCAATCACTCAGTTCCAGTTACTCTCACCTTCTTGCCATTTCTGGAATAAACCCAGCACACCCTTACATCAGGGCCTTTGCACCTGCTGATCCCACCTCCTGGAAGACTCTTCCCCAAATTAGCTGCATGATGCATTCCCTCACCTCCCTAGGTCTCTGCTCCCGTGTTACCCCTTCACAAAGCACCATACAGAAAAGGGCAAAATCTCTCATCCCTGTCTTGGCATCCCCTATCCCTCTGCATTTATCCTGAAAACAGTACATCTCAACACATTTGTTTGGGTACTAGCCATCTCACCCAACTCCATGAGGGTAGTGACCTGGTCTGTTTGTTCACTACTGTACTCCCGAGTGCCCACACAATGCCTGACACACAGTGGTACCCAAAAAGACTTGAACAGATGAATGAACAAACGAATGAATGACTACCTGGCGATTGGCAGGAGGTGGGGCCTGCTGGACCGCTGTGGGTGCTGCTGATGGCGTGTAGATGCTGTTGGTGGCCAGTGAGACTGTGGCCAGGGGCAGGGCACTCCCCTGGCACTGCTCCCGCTTGTGGGTCATAAACGCCGGCAGCGAGTTGAACTGCTTCTTACACTTCCCGCAGAGAAAGACATCCTCGTCATCTAGGGATCACACCCGCAGAGGAGCAGAGAGAGGGAAATCACGAAAAAAAGCAAGAATAAAGGAGGGGCATCACAGTGAGAAACGGGACCTTAAGAATGGCAAACTAAGGGCACTGCATGACTTAATGTGGGAGTGTCAAGCGTCAACTTGGTGCTTCCTAGAAGCTTTCAAAACCTCACTGGCACTCGTGGGAATATCCAGCCAAGTTCACTCAGGTATCAAAAAATTAGAAATTAGGAAACAGTGAAGTGGGTTTGCTTCAAAGCTGAGACATTCAGAATCTTTACGCTGCCTTAATTTATTCACTAGTCCCCAAATGGGCCGCATGATCACACTCCTCTGTGCCTTTGCATCCTCCATTCCCCCTGTCAAGCTGCCTCTTTCAGAACAACTCATTATGCAAGGCTCAGCTCAGATGTCATCTCCTCCAGGAAGCCCTCCAAAAGCAGTGAACACAGTTCCTTCCTCTGGGCAAGCCTCTCCTATCACGTTTTCCCATCACCACCAGACTGTGAGTCTCTCAGGGAATGAAATATCCTACTTACTACCATAAGTGTAATATTTCCTGGGCACATAGGAGGCCCTCAGTGGATATTTGTTGAATGAATGAAAAACTAAATGAATGATTAGCTACAGTGAATACTATCCATCACTGAAGGCCTACCACAGGCCACGCACTGTGCCAAGCACTTGATATGTTGTAGCAGAAACGTCTCTTGTTATTCAATATTCACTCTTCCTTCTTAGGCAGTAATATGAATTGTAGTGGGAAACATGGCTGTCTAGTTAAAGACTATATATTCCTCAGCCTTCTTTGCAGCTATACATGTCATGTGACTGGGTTCCAACCAACAGACAACAGCATATGTATACTGTCTATGCAACTGTCTCTTAAAGAGAAGGGGTATGACTTCTACTCCCTTCTTCCCTCCATGTTGGCTGGAGTGTGGAAATGAAAGTGGGAGGCTGGAGCAGCCATCCTGGACTGCATGTTGAGGACAATAAAGCCACAGGAAAGAAGGGGCCTGAGTCTCACCACAGCCACCCCAAATGCCCATCAGGACTTCATGCAACAGAGAAAGAAATTAATCTTGTACAAACGACAAGAAATTTGCATTTCTTGTTTACAACAGCTAAAACCAAATCCCAAGTATCCTCACGAGATTCCTATGAGGTAAGACTATTTCCCCAACTTTATAGATGTGAAAATTGGGGCACAGAGAAATTAATTCACTTGCCCAAGGTCACAGAGCCAGAAACTACAGGAATAAGGATTCAAACCCCCGGTGTGTATCTCTCTGTCCCCAGCATGGCTCCCAAGTACTTGAAAACCTTTGTGGAATGAATAAATGAACACACAGACTCACATAGGTTCTAAGAGAAGTTTCTTGTCCTCACTGTATATCAAAGATCTGGACTATAAATTGGAGAGATTCATGCTCAGGCCGTTCTTTCGACAGAGGGGAGGCTGAGACATGACTTCGGGTCAAAGGTACAAGCAATAGTAAGCATCAGGGCTCCCAGTCATTCTCTGCCATGGTCCCCACATTACGAAGTGATGGAGAAAGAGTGTCCTCAGAGCTAAGCAGAGAAAGGCATGAGCCTGAAGACCCAGGCTGGGAGGAAAGTGACCTCTCAGACACCAGAGGACACCCTAGGGACCACAGTGGGCAATTCATTCCCACACCCCCCCCCGGTAGCCCCACCTGTTTTTCATGGGAAGCCACGTACCCTTCCCACTGGTGGACCTGAGCAGATACTCACCCAGTGGCTGGATGGCAGGTGGTGCATTGACACTCTGGCCTGTTGGATCAGGGACTGCTCCTTGGCCATCCAACAATGACTGGACAGCCAGGACAGTCTGATTGTCCATTCCTGAAGAAAGAAAAGTAGCTTTTTTAAAAGGTGGGCCCAGCATCCTGCTCTGACTTCATCCTTACAAGCCAGCCCCACTGCAAGGCCCCCATGGCAAAAATCACTGCCTGTGCCCTGATATACATTCTCTCCCTAATTCTATTGCGATAGAACCCAAGGTTTCTGGCTGGAAACATGGCCCCAGAATAAAGACTACACTTCCCAGCCACTCTTGCAGCTAGAGAACGTCTAAGTTCTGGTCAATGAGATGTAAGTAAAAGTGTTCTATGGCAGTCTCTAGGAAGTCTTCTTAAAAGCTGCTGGTATGGGACCCCCTTCTTTGTCCTGTCCTCCCTCCTGCTTCCTAGGACAGGAAGACGATGGCGGGAACTCTAGTCACCATCCCAGATCATGAGGACAAGGGCCATACCCGAGGCACTGCAGGGTGAAAAACTGGAAAGATCCCAGGCCTCTGAAGACCTTGTAGAACACAGCCACTGTCACAGCTCTGGACTAACTTTCTCTGGATTCCTGTGCAAGAGAAGTAAACTTCTAGCCTGTTTAAGCCATTGCTGGGCTGGGCTTATCTCTTACTCATGGCCAAATCTAACCCAAAGTGAAACAGCCCCCTCTGGACATCATGTTACTGAGTCTCTCCCATACACACCCCACAAATCCCACAAATCTATTTGTACTCGGGCATCTTTGCTTCCCTTGTTTTCTGGTATGTGCTTGTTTTTTCAGTTCCTCAAAGAAGTGCATAATCTGGATTTGTGGTCAGGGGACTCTTGATAAGCTGACTACATCTGTGTTTTACAATTAGTTGTCACTGTTAAAGTTCACAGTAGTAAACCGCCCAGCCGAGTCACCAGGTGGAGGACAGGACTCTTCACATCTAAGTAGCCGGCAAGGCACACTGCCTCCCTCCCAAGTAACTCAGAGGGTGCCTCATTCTCTCTTTCCCCACAGTCAGCCTCTCAGCTGTCACCTGCCCCAGCTTCCAACTGAAGTGCAATCAGAACCCTCAGCTCCTGCAGCCAGACTGAATCCATCCTTTCCCCTGTCATGACACAGGTTGTGTGCCTTTGAGGCCAGCCCTTCTCTCCAGCCACTCCTGCTCCTTCAGAAGCCTCTCTCCACTGACGGGCCCCTCTCACACTGTGCCCACAACTCTCCTTCCCATCAGTGGCTACACACCCCCGGGTCTCTCCAGCACATCCTCCTTTGAATCCATGTTCCCGTCTCTCCTCCCTTCAACAAGCATCCCAAGAGACATGTCTACACCCTCCATCGCCTCTGCCCACACTCCAGTCCTCCTCCACTCACTCCAGTGAGGCTTAAGCCCCCACCATTCCACCAGAATCACCAAAGACCACCTGGCAACATCAGATACTCCTTGAAACACTCCCTTCTCTAGGCTCCACGGCGCCATCCTTCCTGGGTCTTCTCCCACTTTTCTGCTCCTCCTTCCCAGCCTCCCTTACTCTCCTCTGCAGTCCACCCCCTAAATGTTTCTATTTTGAAGGGTTCCTTCTGTCTGTCTCTTTCTCCTTTCCCTCTTACACTCTCCCCAAGAATCCTCACTCACCCTCATTTAGTTCTTCCTCATATCTGGAGTTTCAAACCTGGGGTTCATGCTTCCCTGAATGTGTCAGTAGACTTGTCTATCATATTACACAAAATTGTAAGTTAGCATCTGTGTGCAAATCTGTAGCAGTTTTATTCATAATAGTAAAAAACAGGAAATACTCATGTCCTTCAGTGGGTGAACAGTTAAAGTGTGGTGCACCTGTACCATGGAGTACTGCTCAGCAATAAAAAGGAGCAAACTATTGATATAAGCAAACGCTTGGATGAATCTCCAGGGAATTACACTAAGTGAAAAAAGCCCATCTCAAAGACTGTATACTACATGATTCCAACTACATGACACTCTTGAAATGATAATATCTTAGAAACAAAAGTCAGATTAGTGTGGTTGCCAGACATCAGGGTTGGGGACCAGGAGAGGGAGGTGGGTGTGGTTATAAAAAGGACAACATCTTGTAGTGATGGAACAATTCTGTAGTTGACTGGTTGTGAAGTTACAGGATAGTTTAACAAGATGTTACACTGGGGGAAATTACATAAAGGGTTAATGGAATCTCTCTGATTATTTCTTACAACTGCATGTGAATCTACAGAGAAGAAAAGTATTACGTCAGAAAAAGAAATCTAATTAAAAAAAAATACTGCCTGTCAAAACTACTGAGACAATAAAAAGATCAGTGGTTGCCAACGGTTGGGGGGAAGAATGAATAGACAGAGTACAGAGGATGTTTAGGGCAGGGAAAACACTCTATGATAATATCATAATGATGCATATATGTCATTACACATTTGTCTCATAGAATGTACAACACCAAGAGAAAACCTTAAGGTAAACTGTGGAATATGAGTGATCACAATGTGTCAATGTAGGTTCATCCTTGGTAACAAATGTACCACTCTGGTGAGTTATGTTGATTAAAGGAGAGGTTATGAATGTATAGGATCGGGGGTATATAGGAAATCTCTGTAAATGCCTCTCAACTTTGAAAACCTGAAACTGCTTGTAAAAAATTAAGTCTTTAAAAAAATGCTGCCTATTCAAAACTGAACTCGAACTGAATGGGTCATTCCCCACCCCTAAGTTAGTTCCTTTTCTAGAAATCCTCATCAATAAGAGCAGGGTACCACTGTCCATCCACCCAAAGCCCCCAGGGCACCCCTTGATTTTTCCCTCAACTGATCTCCCTTCCCACCCCTCATTTCTAGTCCTTCAGCAAGTCTGCCTCCCAAATATCTCTCAGACCCACTTTCTCTCCATCTCCTACAGCTGTCCCCAGAGCCCAGGCCATCATCAGCTCTCAGCAGGACAACCGCAGGGGTCTCATCTCCCCTGCTGCCACTCTGGCTCCTCCCATCTGTTCTCAGAGCAGCCAGGGTGAACTTTATAAAACATACATTAGTTTGTGCTGACCCCCTGCTGAAAATACTTTCTTAGTTCTACACTGATGCCAAGATAAAGTTCAGAAGCCTCATCTCTAGTTGCTCACATAAACTGTGGTGAATCCTAGACCTCTTGCCCTGCAGGGCTTTGCAAATGCATTTCCCCTTGCCAGGGTCATCTCTGGAGCCCCACAGCCCTACTGCCCTTCCCCTAGCCCAGCATGCATCACACTGTTCTAGGAACGGATTTTTCCTTCAACTTCATAACTCAGTATATGAACTCTTTTTTTTTAATGGGGGTACTGCGGATTGAACCCAGGACCTCGTGCATGCTAGGCATGCACCCTACCACTGAGCTATACCCATCCCCTGCAAACACATTCTTGTAGTGAAAATTCAAACACTGAAGAAGTCCATGTACCCAGAGGGAAAGTAGGCTTCATCCCATCTTATTGGCCTCCCAGAGTGAGCCACCACTGACCCTGGCCCTCCAATTCCATCATCCATCATGGCACTGAACACCAGCTGAGGTTCTCTTCTTTTACTGTTCTATAATTTTCCCTTTTCTATAATTGCTTATTCTATAATTTCCATCTGTCCCTCACCAGTGAGTATTCCTGAAACTCAGTCCTTCCAGATACAGGGAGGATTACACATTTCATGGTGAGAACTCTGATCGTCCAAGAAGTTAAGACACAGGGTGGAGATCTCTTGGGAAGTTTATAGGACTCAAAGACTCAGCCACATACCACTGGACTGACCTTCTTTCAGTCTGCCCTCTAATTAGGTGTATACTCATCTTATCTCATTCTCCCAAGAACATTCTTGGGGCTGTATCCCCCCAACATCAACTCTATGCCATGGCCCTGAACTGGCTGAGGCTTCCTCTCCAACTTCTAGCACGTGCACCTGGAGTCTCAGTGTTTGCCTGTCTCCAAAGCTTGTAATTCTCAGAGCCTGAGGACCATTCACATCCTAGGATTTTGAGGAGTATGGGACAGTCTGTGCCCAGAATGTGCTGGTTTAGGTCTGATAACAGGGCATCCCGACTAGGCACACCACCAGTAACCATCCTTTCTTGGTCTCAGTTTATAAAACTGCACAAAGCAGGCACCCAGTGTTTGCTAGTTTGGGCCCATCAGCACTAAGTCCTGGCCTTGCACAAAGGTGGTGCCAATCCTTTCCTGGTCTGAATTTGAGGCACTATGTCACAGCACGAGGCACACAGCTGGTGCAAAAAACACGTTCTTCGTGGTCAGGATGTCTGGTTCGGCGGCTCCGGCTGCCAAGCCCTTCCCGGGCCTCGCGTTCGCAGAGCAACCTGCCCCACCTCGCTGTTCCCGGCCTGGCCTGCCCAGGCTGTTCCCTCCAGGAAACCCCTCCCGCCCCGGCCCGAGGCTCTCGAGACTGCGGCTGTTCCGGTCGGGGGCCCCTCTCCCCGCTGCGCCAGGGCTCCCCGGCTGTTCCGGTCCCAGTGCTCCCCCCCGGGGCCTTCTCTCCCCCGCTGTTCCTGCTCCGTTGTCCCCCCCCGCCGGGCCTCGGCTCCCGCGGCTGTTCCGGTTCGGAGAACACCCCCCCCCCCAGTAAGCCTCAACTCTGTTGCT